TTTTAGGGTACAAAAAGTGCTTTGTGATTCATTGGATTTTCAAACGGTTATTTGTTCTCGTAAGGATCAACTGGGGACCTCGTGCAGAGGCCGTCTATTGTTGAATGACTCAACATTTTCGAATTTTGTTGAATCAAGTGAAAACTAAGTACATCAATCACAACTCATTCTTTTCAGAACCAGAGACTACGAAGATTTTGATATATCTGAGCCGATAAACAGGTGGATTAGGCCAATGTTTGTAAATTCCATGAGCCGTGAAGCAATAGGAGCAGAAGCAGTAACCTATCAAGGAGAAAAAGTCATAGAGGAATATGTTAATGTAAGAGTAAATCTGTTCAAAAACTCTTTCTATGGTCGAGATTTTAGCTTGTCCGTGCTGATACTACTAAGATAGGTTGTGCTTGGGTCAGATGTTTTGGTGGTCGAGATGCAGTGTACAGTGCATATTGCCTTACAAACAAAGCGTAAGTTTTTGTCTTTTAATTTTTGAACCTACATCAAATGAACAAGTCGAAAAATGATGACAAATGAAACTCAAATTTATCGTGAAACATTTCTTTAATTTTTTGCATGGTGAAAAGAAACGAGAACACGGATGAAATTTCGCCTCAGTAGATACAATTCAAATACTCCCCTGATGTAAAAACGTTCCCTTAGCGCGCTGCAATCTCACGGTTTCGTTATGGCATAGGCTTCATCTTTACTTGCATTTTTTCCAATTTACCAAGCAACGCGATTTTTATGGATTTCAGACCTCTCAAAAAAGGAGACATCATCTATCGGAAAGGAAACGGCGGCTGTGCTAAGCATAACAACGAATGTCCCGCACCTTCTACATGTAATGCTACAGTAAGCCTGTGTGAACTTCCTACATCTCATTGACACAACTGAGATTCAATAAATTTGTGATTGCCCGAGTTTTGAAATCATTATAGTATTACTGCCTTGACAGCAAATAAGCTGTAACGGGTAAGACTATTCGGGAGAAGAAGTTGAAAGGCGTTCAACACTTCGTACAGAAAAGCAACACTGAAATGTAAACAACTGGGTGCAATCTTTGAACAGGAATTTAATCTAATTACACTATTGTCCAAGATAAAATCATTGAGTTGAGAGGTTCTTACGGATTATTTTCAGG